ATGCATCATTCTGGTCGGGGGACTTTGTGAAAAGCAAATGAGATATTACATGTGAAGTTTTACATGCTGCCTGGCGCATGGCAAACAGTCAATGATTGGTACTACAACAAAAGCAAATTATTGGGCAAAGATCAGAGTCAGATGTTAAGAGCATAATCTACTAGCATTCCTACACAGTGCCTTTCTGTTCAGGCTAAAGGATAAGATAATTTTTATCCCTGAAAATGCCACTTAAGGTGTAGGTGGAATGATTCTAATTAAAAGACAGAAAGAGAAGATGATATTAACGTGTTGTTTGTTTATCATCAATTAGTTAGGTTGTCTAGAAATACTATTGGCTCACATTAGCTATATTATCTCTAGAACATCTATCTACACAGTAAGTGAAGTCCCTTGCCTAGAATGAGTAACACTATTTGCAATGCAGTTAGATCATGTGTGGGCTTTTAAAAATTCAGATTACAGATTATGAAAGGAATATTAAAAATTCTTCATTTCTTGGTTTATTTGTAACGGATACCAATTCAAAGTGGGTCAAGCCAAGAGCAGAGGTGCAGACACAGAGAATGGACCTGCGGCCACAGGCGGGGAAGGAGAGGGTGGGATAAATTGGGAGAGTAGGATTGACATATATACACTACCACGTGTAAAACAGATAGCTAGTGGGAACCTGCTGTCTAACACAGGGATCTTAGCTCCGTGCTCTGTGATGGCCTGGGGCTGGGGGGTGCAGAGGTGGGTGGGAGGGTACATATACTGATTAGCGTAACAGCAGAAACTAACACAGCACTGTAAAGCAATTATACTCCAGTTTAAAAAAAAAATTGTTGTAGCCAGCCAGGCTCCTCTGTCCTTGGGATTCTCCAGGCAAGAATACTGCAGTGGGTTGCCATTTTCTTCTCCAGGGGATCTTCCCCACCCAGGGATCGAATGAATCCATATCTCCTGCTTTGCAGGCAAAATCTTTATCACTGAGCCATCTGGGAAACCCAATTTTAAAAATAGGGAATAATAAAAACACCATGGCCCAAGAAAAAGGAATTATAATAAGGACGTGAATGGGATTTTCCCCATGGCGTCCTGGAGTCAGGGAACAGCTGGTCAGGAGTAAGGATCCAGAACACCTGTAGATCTGCAAGCAGTGCTGCTCCCTTGCTCACCTCTGCACCCCTGTGCAGTTCTGATTCATTTTCTCTCTCGACCTCCTGCTCTGCTTGAGGGTGGGATGGACTCAGGAGAGGTCTGGGAAGACGCTGTAACATCACACAATACTTGGGATGAAAACAGTCACCCCTACCCCTGCCCCAACATCAGGACTGTTCACTTTTCACATGTAGTTTATACAATTACAATAATGCCTGTTTTTTGCCATATATGTATATAGGAACGGTGTATAATTTAGTGTTATCCTACTTTCATTGAACATATCAAATTCATTTTCCCAGGTAGGAACATAGCCTTTATGATTGAACTTTTTATTTTATTTTAACTTAACTGTGAAGTGAAGTTGCTCAGTCGTGTCCAACTCTTCAACCCCATGGACCATAGCATACCATGCTCCTCCATCCTTGGGATTTTCCAGGCAAGAGTACCAGAGTAGGTTGCCGTTTTCTTCTCCAGAGGATCTTCCCGACCCAGGGATAGAACCCAGGTCTCTCGCATTGTAGGCAGACACTTTACCATCTGAGCCACCAGGGAAGCCCTTAGTCCTACTTAACTGTAACATTCCTCAAATTGATATACTATAATTTACTAAACCAGTTATATCTTGTTGAACATTTACATTACATCCAGGTTTTTTGTTGTTGTTATGTGAAAAATGAACACTGTTTTTTGTCATCTACTAGAGAAATACTCTTAATACTGGAATTATTTAGTCAATGGAAATGAACATGGTTACATCTTTTTAAACCTGTCATCAGCATGCTTTTGAAAAGAGTTGTATCAACTTATGATACCACTGGAAATATAAGAATTGGTCTTACCTAGACTAAAAATTTTTGAAAATAGGTAGCTTATGCACACTGCTTGGAATCATACAGATAGTTCTATGCTTTAGAATCTATAGGAAGACACTTAAATGAACTAATGAAGAACATATATGAATATATAGTAAATTCCATAATGGATTAAAACATTAATAATTCCATCCTTGAATCCTGAGACCTATTCAAGCGCTTTCATGCCTAGTATTAAAAATACATGTGTGTTTATTCATTAATTCCCATGTTAGTGCAAGAATAGTTTATATTCTAAGCTTACCACTGTATTTTAAAATACATTTCTAGTAAACAGAGTATTTAGAACTTTTGTAAGTTTCAAAATTCTTACTTGCTCTTATGGAATAATCAGTTAACTGCAAAGATTCCTTTTCTATGCTAGCAAAGGTTAGCAATTTTAGAATACTTGAAAAAGTATATTTGGCTATCAAATAAACTGGAAATTAATCCAAAGGCATTCCTAGGAATACTATGCAATCATTTAAAAAGAATGGAGCATGGGACTTCTCTGGTGGCCCAGTGGTTAAGAATTTGCCTGCCAATGCATGAGACTTGGGTTTAATCCCTGGTCCGGGAAGATCCCACGTGGTGTGGGGCAGCTAAGCCTGTGCACCAGAACTCCTGAGCTTGGGCTCTAGAGCCGGAGAGCTGCAGCTACCAAAGTCTGTGAGCAGCAGCGAAGACCCAGCACGGCCAAAATAAATTAATACTTTTTTTTTTTTAAGTAAAAAAAGAATGGAGCAGTTGATCTGAAAAACTCTCAAAAAGTAAAATTAAAGTTAGATAAAATGGCAAGGTAACAGTGTATAGTTATCTACTATTTATTTTACCCTCATAATTGTACACACACATATACATGCCTGTGCATAAGCTAGAAAGATGACGATGCTCAAGAACATGGTAAAGTGATTCCATGTAAAGCTGTAAAGTAGATGATGCTCAAGATCATGGTAAAGTGATTCCATTTAAAGCTGTAAAGTAGGGAGACAGCCAGCTCTTAGCCCTGCTGATGAGCATAAGGATAGCATGGTCTGACAAAACTGCAAATCTCTGTTAGCCAGTATTTTTACTTTTGATTCATATCCTAATACAATTCTGGCCACTTTCCCATTTTGCTGAGTTTCTATAGTACATTCTTAACTCAGGTGGTTTTTATTTCTCTATCAAGATTGCCTTTATCCAGCAAAGAGAACTTAGGGAAAGGAAGCTCAGTTAGCCAAAGATGGATGAATGAGTGAATGAATACATGAGATTTGAGAGTCCAGTTTATTGTAGGCATAACCTTAGGCAAATCATTTAACTTCCTTGACCCCAAGTTCCTTCTCTGTAGAATTAAACCTAATTCCCCTCCATAAACTAAAATCCCCTACATATTCACAGGGCCTTGGTGAGTATGATATGAGATCATGTGTGTGGACGTTATTTTGAAAACTGTAAGACATCAAGTTTTGAAGTTTTACTGTGCAAACCTGTATCAGTATAAAAATTCTTCCTAAAGTCAAATAAATGTTAAGGAGTTTTGAATAATTAGCTCCTTTGTATTTTATTTGAACCTCTAATATTAACTCATTTCAGTAACATATATTGAGTTGATTATTATTAATTTCTTTCCTTTCTCTTGCTCATCCTCTAGTGGAGGTGCCTTTAAACCAAGGAAAATGTCAAAACCAAAATAGATACAAAAGACAGAGGAAAAAGAGGTCTGAACTAAAATGGCATATCAAATATTTATTATTTTAAAACCACCATGATAAACTTCTGAAAAAATATTTGCTTTTTCTTTCTGAAGGCTTTTGCAAAGGACTGGCTTTGGTTTTATGACCAGTTTTGTCTCTGAAATTATCTTCCAGGATTTCAGCCAACTGTCAAATGCAATTGAATTTAGTCACATTTTTCCTTCTAGATTACCTTATAAAGTGCTCCCAACAGACCATTAAAAATGCCCACAAATAACCAAATTATTATTTACTCCTAACTTTGATATTGTTTCACATTTTGCTGTATAACTTCAGATAATTGTGGTGTTTTACTTTCAGTAGCAATATTGTAGTTATAGGTAAAGTCATTCCTATTTAAAATAGTATGGAGCACACCCATACTTGGAATCAACAGTATTCAATACATTTTTCTGTTACTTACAACTAGTCATTTACATTATTTATATTAATGTAAACAGTTGTGGAATGTAGTCATTTTGTATATGTTGAATCAATGAATGTTATTAGATAAGTATTTTTTTCTCTTGAGTAACTCAACTTATTTTCTGATTCTACCAATCCGATATTATGCTTTTGATTGGTAAAGTCACTGACAAATATCTGTTTACTGATATTTGTCAGATATTCAAATATCTGAATATTCAATTCAGTTGCTCAGTCATGTCCGACTCTTTGCGACCCCATGAATTGCAGCACGCCAGGCCTCCCTGTCCATCACCAACTCCCGGAGTTTACCCAAACTCATGTCCATCGAGTCAGTGATGCCATCCAACCATCTCATTCTCTGTCATCCCCTTCTCCTCCTGCCCCCAATCCCTCCCAGCATCAGGGTCTTTTCCAATGATTCAACTCTTCGCATGAGGTGGCCAAAGTATTGGCGTTTGAGCTTCAGCATCAGTCCTACCAATGAACACCCAGGACAGATCTCCTTTAGGATGGACTGGTTGGATCTCCTTGCAGTCCAAGGGACTCTCAAGAGTCTTCTCCAACACCACAGTTCAAAAGCATCAATTTTTCAGCACTCAGCTTTCTTCACAGTCCAAGTCTCGCATGATACAAAAGATTTTCTGACTCATATTTTCACATAGCTAACCAGTGACATATTTAGTAAATTCTAAAAAGTAATACATAAACGCATGCGTGCTAAGTCACTTCAGTCTTGTCCTACTCTTTGCGACACTATGAACTTGTAGCCCGCCAGGCTCCTCTGTCCATGGGATTCTCCAGGCAAAAATACTGGAATGGGTTGCCATGCCTTCCTCCAAGGTACTTTCCTGTCTCAGGGATCAAACCTGCATCTCCTGTGTCTCCTGTATTGCAGGCAGATTCTTTACCACTGGGCCAACAGGGAAGCCTCCTAATATATGAATATCAAATATCAAATCCTAGCATAAACTTTATAAATAGCAGAAATGGGTAGTAGAAGAAATTACTCAGATACTGTCTACTAACAGAAAAAGATGAAAACATTGACTATAGGAGAAAAATATAATTAGTGTCATGAAACAGTTGAATAAATTGATTAGTTCTTCATTTTATTTTCTGTACCTACAGAAGTCATAGTAAGTCAAGAGAACATATGGCCTGAATTTCTGTTTTCCTTATTCTTTAGTTTACTTATATTTTTGTCCTCCCTCAAGCTCACTTTCTGCAGACTTTGGGTACATTATGGATGTAAATCAAACCACTACAGTTCACTTCGGGGGTTGATGTTGATTATAACGCATGTCCTCCTTTACATCCCCTCCCCTTCCACTGCCAGTCAGCATCAAACTGACCAAAATGTTATCAACCAGACAGAAGCACTTGATGCAAAGAATTGGACAACCCATTAGCTAGAAAACCATCCCCTGAATAATTCAAAATCAATTGAAGCTCTTCCCCCAGATACAGAATTGTTCTGGAGTTCCATTCATTGTTGCATTTCTCCTTTGCAGAGCCCTGGAAAACTCGGATCAATGGTGTAGCAGCAAAAGACATCATGATACCAAATAGGGAACAAGGGTCTGGGAGATGCTTGGGACCTCTTAATTTCCAGGCCACTTGGTATCAGATACAGTTCATTACACAGGAAAATTGCTTGATCTAGGAAAGGAGGGTGCTGGAGGTGAGGGAAAATGAGCTAGTCACCAACACAGCTCACCTTGAAATTCAGTCATTTTGATCAATCTGGGGAATGATTGTTGTTGCGTTCCAGATGAAGAATGAAAGCTGCTTTCCATGAGAAAATGGCAAATCACATATCCCCTGTGTTTAGATCTGAGAACAAAAAAGAATAAAAGGAAGGAGGGGAAAACCCATGTCTGTTGATGCACACTTACTAATTTAATAGAGAATGCACAATTTGTAGAGCCTTTATAATCTACTCTCAACATGGTTTTATTTGAGCTTCATTAACAGTGCTAATTGACATTATTCCCATCTCATATGTGTAGATAACAGATTCAGAGAGGCTGCCATCACCCAGTTGAGAATAGTCTAGACTGGGACTCAGCTGACACTGTAACTAAACAAATCACACCTTCAAATTCTGTTGTACTCGGTTAACGTAAAAGCATACCCATGGCTTTGCCAAAACAGAGTTCTGAAGCATAAAGGAAATGTTCGCATTCAGAAAAATAATGAGCAGAAGTATTTTAGTGAACATTTGGTTATACATTCAACATTTCTGTAAGTTTTCTCATGATGTATACCATTTTGAGTGACTTGTAATCCTTTCTATATCCCCTCTTCTCTACTTGAGCAATTCCATGAACACAAGAGATTCCTTCAGAAGGTTCTTTTTCCCCCCATTCCTCCTGATCTGCTGCATTGATTTCTCTAGTATCCAACCACCAAGTTTTTAATTATCTTTATTTCATAATCAATTTATTCCATGTCTTTTCTCTCATGCTCCATTATAAAGTCTTTTATGATGGAGACTACAGGCTGTTAATACCTCCTGTTACTGTGATGGTCATGTCTGGAAAGTATATATTTTTTCAAGTATCTTCCATGATTGATAACTTCCATCAATGCCTCATATTGGAAAGGGTCCTGACTGGAAGCTGACATGGAAAGAGCACATTTTATCTCAGAGTAATTGACCTGAACTTAACCCAATAGGAACCAAAAAAAAAAAAAAAAAAGGTTGGAAGAGCAGTAGCCGTTTTGAAACGAGCTATGAAAGATGAGCCATCACATTTTATATCATTACTTATGGTATTAGTAACCTGACTTCTGAGAGCCAAGGAAGTAAAGGTTGGTTTGGGGAGCAGACATCTTTGACGTGACTAGACCAAAAGAAGGCAAATAGCAATCAAAAGTTGAAAGATGTCCATCATCCAAAACAACTTAAGTTCTGAATTAAAATTTGGTAGCCCTGGAATAGCAAGGGATCTAGATGGTCCATGAAAGTGGGAACACACTACTGCTTGGGAGTTACAGAGACAGAGTAAGTCAAGACTATGTCTTCTAAAAACTTCCCTGGTGGTTCCAGTGGTTAAGAATCCAGCTTGCAATCCAGGGATGCAGGTTCAATTTCTGATTGGGCAACTAAGATCCCACATGCTGTGGGGCAACTGAGCCTCTGTGCAGCAACTACTGGGCCTGCATGCCACAACTAGAGAGTTTGTGTGCTGCAATGAAAGATCCCACATGCTGCAACTGAGACCCCACACAGTCAAATAAATAAATAAACAAAATTTTAAGAATATACCTTCTCAGTGCACCAGGATCGGGTGGAGAGGGAGGTGGGAGGGGGGACCGGGATGGGGAATACATGTAAATCCATGGCTAATTCATTTCAATGTATGACAAAAACTACTGTAATGATGTAAAGTAATTAGCCTCCAACTAATAAAAATAAATGGAAAAAATAAATAAATAAATAAATAAATAAAACTAGCCTCTTTAAAAAAAAAAAAGAATATACCTCCTGAAGTGAATACTTCTAATGGGGAAAACTAAGAGTTGGGGGGGGGGGGGGAAATCTGACATTACATTGTTGCTAGCATAACCCACAAACATAATGCCAAAGATTCTTTTGAAACAAAATTTAAAAGTTTTTATGATAAAATAATACATGGAGCCAAGAGTTCATAACTATCTCCTTTTGAACTGAGATAAATTTCCAACCTGATACAGAATTAATTTGTAGAACTCTCAAGGTATTGTGCCTTCGATATGCACATTTTAAATTAACCAATAGAAAAATTTAAAAATGGCAGACATATAGATGTAGGGAGAGTTTTTTCAGACATCACAAGATGTTTTACTTGTCATGGAAGGCAATTTAAGCATCAGGGCAAGATCTCAAAAGTATGCATCACAGCATCTCAGTTAACCTACTTTTTCAAACCATGATTATCTGAAGTCAAAACAATTGACTGCAAAGCAGGAAAAAAACTCAAATAGCCTACCAATAAACAGTTTTAAAGGGAAAAATAAAAAATTTTTTAAGTAATTGTGTCTCAGCACTAAGACATTCCTACAAGAATAAAGGTAGTTTTATATAGATGCACATACACATACGATGTAGTGATTGAGAATTTGAAAGAGTAAAATGAGATAAACAATAAACGTTTTGACTGGATATCTAAGAATAAGGATCAAAAGATAAGGGTCTAGTCACACTAAGAAAAAAATTTTGGAAAGAATAGAGATACTAACAATTTTCCACAAAGAGATGTCAGCAGAGAAAGAATATCTTTTAAAAGTCATCCAAGTCATTAACAAACAGAACAAAAGAAATCATAGTGAAATTGAAAGATATCTGAGTGAAGCCAACTGTTGGTTTAAGGCATAAGATGATTGTTCTTTGAGCATCAACAAAGTCGGTGTGGTAAGGTGATTACAGAAGATACTGCTGGATTGTTTTTAGAAAACTGGACAGAGCTGTGTGCCAAGTAAGATAAAAACAGATCAAATATTAAGTCAACGATGTCAAAACAGGCCATTTAACCTTATAAACCTACCTTGTAAGCAAGGGAGAGTGCCTAATCTTTTTAAAGAGGGACACTTAAGAAGAAATCATCTTTTCCATTCATTGGACAAATATTTATTGATCTGCTTCTGTGTGCCAAGCACTGTTCTAAGTTGTTGGGAAACATCAAGAGGCCAGAGAGACACAAATCCTTGCTCAGCAGAACTTGCTAGTGGAATGAGACAAATAGTAAGTAACAGATATAGTATAAATAAGCAAATCTTTTAACATGTTAAAAAGTGTTAAATGCTATGGAAAAGTAGGAAAGGGTAAGAGCGATTGGAGATGCTGATTGATCGTGATCCCCTCTTTTAAATGACTGAGCAAAATTACCATTAGCTGGTGACATGGTCTCAGAAAGGTGCATGCTGCAATTAAAAATAGGGTGTTGGGGGAGCTGGGCAGGTAGGACTTCTTCCGTGCATGACTGTTTGATTTTAATTCCTCCATAATGTTCATTTGGTTCAAAGCAGGTGTTGTCAGAGCTGGATGGAAGCGGTGGAGTTCTCATAAAAATATAAGTGTGTTGTTTAGTTGCTAAGTCGTGCCCTACTCTTTTGCAACTCCTTGGACTGTAGCCTGCCAGGCTCCTCTGTTCTTGGAATTTTTCAGGCAAAAGTACTGGAGTGGGTTGCCGTTTCCTTCTCCAGGGGCTGTCCTCTACCCAGGAATCAAACCCGAGTCTCTTGCGTTGGCAGGCAGATTCTTTACTGCTGAGCCACCTGGGAAGCCCATGCAGTCTGTTATGAACACTATAATGAAGTGTGTGGTGTCTCTCATTAATTGATTCCCTAACACCTGTTCTCCTTATTTACCTTGCTTTTGTTTTCCATTATGTTAAATACTATTTCACCACTGTTTTAAAACAAAATAATTGAACATATGTGCAGTTACCATCTTAAAACTCTGGCTTTCTATCAGTGTTAATGGTGATACAGTTGCCCATGTTTGCATGTTGATGAAAACAGAGCTAATGTCTTTTACCACACAGAAGAAAACGCAGAGCTCATATGTTTGCACAACACCCGATATGGCGGGATTTGCTGTCTGCTGCCAGGGACCGTGGGCTTCAAGTACCTTTGCTCATCTCTTCTAAATTTCATCAGAGTACATCGTCAGTAACACTAAACTCCACACCACATCAATGTGGGAACTCCGGCCTCTTTTCTCATCCTTGAAAGATCGTTAGAAGTAGGAAGCTGATGTACCCTTCTTAAACTCCAGTCATACTAGTTCAAAGAGCTTTGGGCTCATGACCACTTAAAATCTCCCTCCTGATAACATTACAAATGTCAGGAGCATCCTTTGGCAACTAAGGGTCAGCAAGGTTATATTGCCCTTGCTGACCTAGTTGGGTGACACGCACAGTGTGTGAGGCACAGCTGAATATTATACTGCACTGTTCCTTAAAAAAAAAAAATCTCAGTTACTTAGGCTTTAGTGACTTGGTTTTGTTGTGAAAACCCGGGCAGTCTTTAACAGAACTTACCAAATCTTGGTATTGCAATGACCTAGTTAAGTCTTATCCTTTAATGACTAAATGCCTCTTCTGTTTTGTCCACAGTTTGTTCCTCTGCCCCAGCCAGAGCTCAGCTCAGCTCATCCCAACTCTCCTTTGCATCAGGGGGTGGGGGGTAGGACCAGGACTGTTGTTCTCTGATAAAAGAAGCAACCGAGTATGCGTGAGAGCTCTGGTTGGCTTTTTTTTTCTGTTTTATTTTGCTTTATTTTTTTAATTTTTATTTTGTATTGGGGTATAGCAAATTAACAAACAGTGCTTACTGAAAAATATGCTCACCTAGGATACGAATTCTAGAATTTTTTTTAAATGAAACATCTCTTGTACAGTCATTCTTAATAATTCATGATTTTTTCAAGATGGAAAAAAACTCAAACTGGACATTACAAAAAAATTAGTATTTCCAAGTCAGTGTTTTACTACTTTGTATGTAATTTATGGATCAAGCCAAAAGTTTAGAATTTAAATTTATGGAATATTCAAGTCTCAATACTTGTGTTAGTGCAGAAGCAGAACCACTAAACCCTGAGTCATTTTAGTCCTTGATTGTGTATTAATGCACATCTGGAACATTCACTGCTATGGGCTTTGGCTCAGGTCTCTATTTCCAACTTGGCCATTAAGCTTGTGAAAGAATATTCTATCACATTTTGTTTATGCAACAGTAGAAATAAAGTCTCCTTGAAATATAAAGTTTTTTTCCCTTGCTGTTCAAAAATATTCTTAGAGGGATGTGTGTGTGTGTACTCTCTGAGGGACTGATAAGCAAGTTTAATTGCATATTGAAAAATGAGATGAAATTTAACATTATCCAGCAGGAGTGCCCTACCCTGCACCCAGGTGAAAAGCATATTATTTATGGCGTGTCTGTAAAGATTAAAGTAACTCCCCAGACAAGGAGACTTAGGCCCTCATTCCAGACTTTTACAGCTTTATTAGTATATTTTCTCCTTATTGCTCAGATGGCTTATTGCTTTTTTAAAAATTGGGGTATAGTTGCTTTACAATGTTATATTAGTTTCTACTGTACAGCACAATGAACCAGCTATACATAGACCCACTCTTGTTTGGATTTCCTTCCCACTTAGGTCATCACAGAGCATTGAGTTTGGAGTTCCCTGTGCTGTACAATAGGTTCTCACTAGTTATCTATTTTATACATGGTAGTGTATATACATGTCAATTCCAACCTCCTAATTCATCCCATCCCCCCTTCCTCCTTGGTACTATACCAACTTAACTACTTTTGTATTTTTGCATTTTCTTCTGGTTTTCTCAATTGGCAATAAGACCAGCACAAGACCCCTCTACTGGTACGCTGCGTTGCACTGCCTCTCCTTCACTCAGGGAAGGAAATTGCTTCCTCTCTTCTGCATCCGTATCCCTGTCAGTAGCACAACTGTTACAGCATCCTGAGAGCTGGCGGTTAGCCCTCAGTCCTTGGGATGGCAAATCCTCATGGCTGAGCCTCTGCCCCTGAAAGATCTCCTGCACTTGACCTTTATGATGGCACACTTGTCTGATTTCCCTTATTATTTTTCAAGCAACTCCGTCTCAATCTCTCTGACTTGTTCATCTTCCTCTTCCCACTCTCTAAATATTAAAGCGCCAGGGGTCACCTCACAGCCGTCTTTCCTTCTCCATCTGCATGCCTTCCTGAAGTGATCTCATCCATGTCCTTGACTTTAGTTCTCATCGCTTGGTCAATTCAGTTCAGTCACTCAGTCATGTCCGATGCTTTGCGACCCCATGAACCACAGCATGCCAGGCCTCCTTGTCCGTCACCAACTCCCAGAGTCCACCCAAACCCATGTCCATCGATTCGGTGATGCCATCCAGCCATCTCATCCTCTGTCATCCACTTCTCCTCCTGCCCTCAATCTTTCCCAGCATCAGGGTCTTTTCCAATAAGTCAGCTCTTCGCATCAGGTGGCCAAAGTATTGGAGTTTCAGCGTCAACATTGCTTGGTCAGTGGCTCCCAGATAAATATCTCCAGCCTGTTTCTAATCTGTGAACTCTGAGCTGAGTTGACCTCTCTATTTGTATGGCTAGTAGACACCACAGACTTAAATTGCCCCTAACTGAGCTTTTGGTATCATCTCCCCTCCTCCAACCTGTTCCTTCTTAGACCCTTGTTTCACACAACAATAATCCCATCCTTCTAAAAGGCTCAGGTCAGAATTAATCTTGAGTTAATCTTGCAGTTAATCTTGACTTCCCTTTTTCTTAAACACCTTGTTCAACTTTTCAGAAAATTCATGTGTTCTACTTTCAAAATACATTCAGAATTTGCCCACTTTCCTTCAGAGTCATCTGGGCCAAGCTGCCATTATCACTCACCTGGATTATTGTAGTCACCAGTGTCCATCATGGGGTTTTCTCTGTTTCTACCTCCAGCCTGTTTCAGTGGATCAGCCAGAGTTGTCCTGTTAAAATAAGTCAGCTCATGTTCTTTGCTCAAACCCCCCAAAAGCATCCCCTCTCAATAAGTTCAATCCACAGTCCTCACAGTGATCTTCAAAGTCTACATGATGTGCCCACAACCCAGCTCTCCAGCCTCACCCCCTGTAGTCCCATCTTCGCTCCTCTCTACCACACTGGCCTCCTCAGTTTCCTTGTATGTGCCAAGCAAGTTTCTGCCCTAGAGCAGCAATTAGAACCAAGGTCGCTCAGTTTCTAAAGCCTATTCCTAAATCCAAATAATTTAATAGAAAAAAAAAAAGAAAAAGTGCTCAGTCGTGTCCAACTCTTTGTGACCCCATAGACTGTAGCCTACCAGGTTCCTCCATCCATGGGATTTTCCAGGCAAGAAATACTGGAGTGGGTTGCCATTTCCTTCTCCAGGAGATCTTCCCAACCGAGGAATTGAACCCAGGTCTCCCACATTGTAGGCAGATGCTTTACCATCTGAGCCACCAGGGAAGTCCAATTTAATAGAGAATCCCCAGAAATCCTAATCAGAATATTCTCATAGAGACATAGCACCTAAATCATATACTAATTTTTAAAAATTCCTTCATTAAAAGGAATTCTGAACATATGCTTTATTGTGCTGTGCTATTTCCTAATATGTGATATAAACAGTTGTAGGACTAAAAGAAAAGATCTAACAGGGTTCTGTGATGTATGATATATGCAGATTGTCTTAATTAATATAAACCATCTAAATACTGTCAACAAATACTTAGTGTCTATTAAGTGCTAGCAGCCACAGTGACACCACAGATATCAAGCCCATGTTGGATTGGGGGATGCCCTGGTGAATGAGAGAAAAAGAGACAGAAATTGAGAAGGAGGGAGAGAAACTGGAGAGGCCCAGGTGATCTTGCAAAAGGGACTGTCAGGTGCCTTTGTCTAAAAGGGAATAGGACAATGACTATTAAGAGAACCTGGGATGCATATCTTATTCAACAGTGTAACACCACTTAGTGAATTCATCATGTTAACAAATGGAAGAATAAAAATTGTAAGATAGTAGGTGCAGAAAAAGCATTTGATAGCATTCAACATTGATCTGTGATTTAAAAAATAACTCTTAGGAAACTAGAAATAGAAGTACATTTACTAATAGTTAATCTGACAAAGCACCTATAAAAAAACCTTATATAAAATGTTGTATTTATTGATGAAATGATGAAAACCTTCTCCTTAAGATTGGGATAAGATAATCATGCCCTGTATCAATGTCCAAACAATATTGTAATAAAGGCCATAGCCAATACAATATGGCAAGAGAAAGATATGAAACATAGAAGGATAGCAAAGTAAAAAATAAAGTACATTGTTCAGAAGTGATAAGATTGGGTCAAACAAAGTCCAAAAAGATCTTTAGGTACATTTTTAGAATTAATTAGAGGATTAGCAAGAAGGCTGAGTATGCAATCAATATAGAAAAATCAATTGTATTTCTCCAAACTTCAGAGTAAGTAGGACCTAGAAAAAAGGAAAAATTTAAAGATATCATGTAGAATAGTTTTAAAAGCATCAAATGCCTAGAAATAAGCTTATTAGAAGACGTATACCTCTATATAGAAAACAAAACTATAAAACATTATTAAAGGCATAGAAACCTCTTAATAAATGTGTGTGTGCATTGAAAAACTCTGTTGTAAAGTTAGTTCTCCCTAACTTTAGCGAGTTTAGTGTAATGAATATATTCAAATGAACCCAATAAAAACGCCAGCAGGTTTTTAGCAAACTGACAAACTGATTCTAAAATTTTATATGGAAAGGCAAAGTTTCTTAAAGAAGAAAAAGAAGTATAAAGGAGCCATAATTTATTATAAAACAAAGTAATTAAGGATATGAACTGGCAAAAGGATTGAGATAAAGACCAGTAGACCAGAGAAGATTTTTCAAAACTGATTCATACACATATATGGACTCTTGTTCTTTTTTTCATTTATTTATATTAGTTGGAGGCTAATTACTTTACAATATTGTAGTGGTTTTTGCCATACATTGACATGAATCAGCCATGGATTTACATGTGGACTCTTGCTTTATGACACGTGGCATCCTTGATAAATGGTATTGAGTCAATTGGCTCCCCATATGGTAAAAGATGAAACCTCACCCTTCATATCATACATAAAAATCCATTACAAGTAAATTGTAAATAAATATAGAGTGTAAATGTTAAATCTTGCAGGAAATGAAACAGGAATATTTTCAGGAAAATAGGATAGGCAGTTTCCTTGAACAGAAACCAAAAAAACACTGTCTAAAAAGAGAGTGATTATACGTCACGTTAAACAGATTGCATTGAAATTAAGAACTTCTACCAGTCAAATCATTAGAGAGTAAAAATGAAATCTATGGAGTAAAAGGCAATATTTGTAACCATATAATCAGCAAGAGCTCATATCCAGAACTTGTGAAGAACGCTTATATCTTATAGATCAATAAAAAAAAGATAACCAAAAGAAAAGTGGGCAGGAGGCTTGAACTTCACAAAAGAGGATATCCAAATGGCCAATAAAGATATGAAAAAGTGACATCATTACTCTTCAGGAGAATGGAAATTAAAACCATGAAGAGATTTTACTTCAAATCTACTGGAATGACTAAAATAGAAATGCCTGGCAGCACAATGTGGGGAGGATAGGATGCAATAGGTACCCCTGTATTGCTGGCAGGGATGTAAATTGGTACTTGTCAGTTAGAAAACTATTTTGTACCACCTACTAAAACTGTGCAGAGTCATACCTTCTGACCCAGTAATTCCACTTGGCAGAAATGCACACATATGTGCACATACATCAAAAGGCGTGTACAAGAATATTCATAGCAGCATACATGATAATAACATTGTAAAACATTCATTCAGGCAATGCAAATGAACTAACCATTGTTATTTCATTTATATAGAGTTAAAAAATAAATAACATGAATGTATGGTGATAGAAATCAGAATGTTGATTATCTTTCAGGAGAAGGGAGGATTTAGAAATGAAAAAGGGACCAAGAGGTGGACTTTAGGAAGCAAGTAAGGCTCTATTTGTTGACCTGGGGGGTGGTCATAAAGATGTCCACTTTGGGATAATTCATCGAGGTTATGATTTTCACTTTAATATATGTCTATTATACTTCAATCATTAAAAAAAATTTTTTTTTAATTCCCACTGCAAAATAGCAACTTTTACTTATCAGCTATTTTTTTTTACCTATTTTGTTAATGGATTTATTTCTGTTACAGTATCTTACAGTTGTTGGAAACAGCACTATGTGAATTCAAAATATAATATTAACAGCACCTCAGGAAATTATACTATTGACCTGAAAAATGACCACGTTATTTTACTGCATATTTTGTGTTAGCAAGTGTGGTTACAAATAAACTTTTAGGAGGCACTTATCAAGTGAATACTTTTTCAAAAAATATTTTAATTCTGAAGTAATACATTGTTCTATGGTGTTCTATGGCTGCACACGTTAGTCCATGCCTGTGTTTATCAATACATGTAAAATGCCTATCGTTTTTTAAAAATGAAATGTGATCATAACTTACATACTATTTTGTAGTTTATTTGTACATCTAAAATATATGTGTGAAATCTTTCTAATTTATTTATTTTTATAAAGTAAATGTTATTCAAACTCAAAAACCTATAAGAATTAAATGTAAATTTCATTTACTCCTACTCTTACCTTTCTGCACTTCCCAGAATTAAGCTTGTTAACACTTTTGCTTTTTGCATCTTTCCATAAATGCTCTGTGTATGTCAATGCAGTTTTTGTTTATTTTTTACAGTTTGAGACCATGCTCTTCTTCAACTTAGTCTTTTCCTCAATATAGTTTCAGCATATTCATGTGTTTGCATATCAGTGTGTAAATATCTACTTTTAAATATATAGTACATCTTCTTTTAATATAGTATCTATATCATATTTTTAATGGCTGCATAATATTCCAACATCAGGAAATGTCATAATGTATTACATTTAGCTTTTCTCCTACTGATAGGTATTTATATTACTTCTAGTTATTTATTACAAAATTACTACAACAAATATGTGTCTTTATGTGTTTGAGAAAATATGTATATAAGTCAAGAGTATAAATAGTTTTTGACATTGAAAATAACCAGAACCATGCTTTTGTGAATGGTCATTGAGAATTGGATTCAGCAGTATAGCTAGAAATTAATTTCATCAAGAATTAAAGAATGGCACCAAAATGGGTACCAATGAGTCATTGAAGGCAGGTAAATTATGGTTAATGTGAGTGGAATGAGGCTTTAGTGGAAAGGGAGAAACACGGCAGATAGCATTCCGTGCCCAAACAACCAGCCATAGTTCCTGTTTTAATGTCAAATATAGAACATCAGACAACTTACACAAAGGTATAGCCACTGTTCACAAATGGAAATTATAATACAATATAATTAAATCATCCATTTATATACCTAATAATCAAGTAGAATATTTCACTTTGATTCCTTAAATTTAGAAATTGTCTTCTCAAGATCAAGCTACATTTCCTCTGGAAACCCATCATTTTTGAGTCATGCTGTTCTAAGAATTGAGTTTTTCTTCTAACAGAGAACTGTTGATCATTTAAGTCTGTACCTACTGCTGCTAGTAGTTCTTAGTTTAACACCAGGAAATGAAGACATCAGAACCTGTTAGAAATGAAGCAGTGGCTACTACATGTATTAATCTACTCCCTAAATTGTTGAATTTAGAAAGGGACAAATAATATTTTTTCTTCACAGCTAGAAAATTAGTACCCTGGCTCTCTGTTATTCTCCTACACCACGCATCAAAATAAAATCTTTCTTTGTCATAATATAGGATTGTTACAAGAGAACAGGAGACATGGTGGATGTCTGTGTACCGGATGATTTTAGCCTTTGTGGACAATCACAGCTGATATTTGAGTGCTTATTATGAGTTTGGTGCACTTATAAGTGCTCATTTGTAT